GACTCATGAACTTTTCGCCAGTACCAGAACAAGACAGTGCAGTTTTTTTTTATAGAAGTCATTAAACACTTTTAAATCAAAGTCGAATATCTTTGGATAGGGGGCAACCTATATCTATTCTTGCTAATCTTGTATAGAAATCCTCTTTTAACATCTTCAGAAACATGATCTTTTTTGTGATTAATTTTTATTCAGTTTCCTAGTCTTATGTGCACTGTACTCAGCATTCTGATTGTACCAGTTATAAATGTTCCATTGGCAAACCAACTCCGTACTGCAGGCACTATTATTACATTACAATTGAAATCGGGCGTCACTGTGACTGTACGGGTATGATTAAGTATTCTAGATGAGCGTGGGTGCTATCTATCGTTTACATTATTTTATATATTTAATAAATGAAATACATAGTATCATTTGATGTCACATGGAATTCTAAGTTCAAGGTATACATATTCCAAAACAATCAGTATATACATGTACTAACCCCATGAATTATCATGAAAAAGACGAAATATGATTTTAAAAAGAAGTGATCCAAAAGTATTTATTAAACCAATGAATACGTTTTTGAAATCATGATTCTTGCTAAGGTAAACATGGTACATGTAAATGAGGGATGGAGAAGAGAAGTAGGTATGAGAGAAATAAGATGGGTGTGAGATGCAGAATGTAGATAAAGAAATTGGAGGAATGGAAGAAGGAGAGGAAAAGGTGAAAATTAGGGAAATTTCAAAGAGAAAAATGAAGGAGGGAAAAAAACATTGGGAGGGAGATTAATGGGAATGGAAAATAAGACAATTTTCCTTATCTACCTCTCATAAATTATGAAGCATTAAAATAAAATAGAGACTTAGTGCTTTAATTTCCTCTTAAGAATTTCTCCTAAAAGTCCAGGTCTGGGAGAACTGGCTTTATGAAATTGCAAGGTTCTTGTATTTTAAGGTAAACAGGTATATCTGAGAACTTTCAGCGAAGAAAAAATAATATGAGCGCACTCTCTGATCTAAAAAAAAATAATCATGTCTTTTAATCAATCATCAGAAATAGTTTTATCATTTACTAGTTGCATATTTTATATCAAAGGTTGCGCTATGTATCAAACATCGAAAAATAAATATAAGAATAGGCCATTTGTGTAGACTTTTTTTAGAATTAGGGTAATTGACGCATTTTGTGACGTCATAATAGAATGACTAGCCAAAAATTACGTCATTTTTGATAGATACGCAATCATCAAAGATCTATGTGATATTAAATGCATTGTTTACTAAAACTAAGCAGTTGTAGTTTTTTTTCAGAAATTCACAGGGCTAAAGAACGCACAAGTGAACCCTGTTATTTGAACATTTTTAAAGTGAATTTTTGACTTCATATGCAAGCTCAAAGGTCTATTAAGTAATACAAAGTTGAAGCAGAGTAAAACGGATCTTCAAAGCACCCGAGATGGGATCAGGTACCAGCATGGATGAGTGAGCATCCCCTGCTATATGTAGTTTAAGTAACTTATATGTTCTTCTTTAAGCGAGGGTCGTAACGATAATTCATTGAACAATTTTGATTTGATATCGATATGGCATCGTGGAAATTGACAATAAGATAAGTATGAGAGAAAGTTTTATATAATAAAGTTTTGTATAACACACGACTAAGAGAAAGTATTGAATAACACACTCAAATATCAAAAAATATTTTAGCAAGCTATAAAAAAAAACTTAATATGTCGATATCATTACTAGATTGTGTCCTGGACATAACTCTATTTTACCTAGGAGAGTTTTTGCTCTGCTCCTGATTTATAGTGTTTGAATCGATCTTTGGCTTGAAATTGTTCGGTAGATCCATATATTTTATCGACCTCCAAGTTACCTTTATCTTTTTAAGTAGGCGGATTTTTTGTCCTAAGGTAGGATTCTTCTCTGGTTTCTGACTAGATGAAACATTCGAAGTATTTGCTAATATGCCATATATTTAGATGAAAAAGATCATAAAATTCTTTCCTTATCACAATTGTACAACTTCAAATAGAAATGGTAATCTGAATTTGAAATCTATCAACTATATTTTGGCGAAATTGTTACGTATGAAAATATCTCCTTTTCTGTCTTTCAAATTTTTACAGAATGAAGGATATGGAGATAACGAACAGTATCAATATCAAAGCATGATGAACTTAGTGTCATAATTTGACAAAGACATTTTCCAATGCCGAAGCTATTCTTCTCATTTTCCCTTTCACACCTTTATGCACATCTTTTTTTTTGAGGAAGCAAAAACGGAAATAGGGAACATGAATATGTTTATAGTTTTCTTTTTTCTTCTTTCGGTGGAATCACTAAAACATTTAGTATATCTTAATAAGAGCACCTTTTCGGTAGAAAATGTGAATGTACTTCATTTTGTTTCTCTGTGCAAGTCACTAAAGATATCAAAACTTTCACCTAACACATGTGTCCGAAACTGAAAGTTGAGAGATAGAAACAAATTTACTAGATTACCTGACTTCTCAGTTTTTCTTCTAGTCGAATTTTTTTTTTGCAAAGTGCTTATTTGTCACATAAAAGACAAGGTATATAAATGTCAAAAATGAATTTTCTTACCATTTTAGGATTGATATACCTGGATAATAACACGTACGGTTAAAGATAAAACATGAGTAAAAAAGGAAATACCTGTGTAACATTTAGGGAGAAGGAAGTAGTATCTCATTTTACAGAAAATAGAATAATAGTAAACACGGCATACATCAAGTATCATATAACAAACAGAGAGAAAGGTGGTCTGTGTTTTATTAATGCAAAGTAGGCCAGTGACAAGTATTGACACCCAGAGAGAGAGATAGAGAGAGCTATTACTGCTGGTATTAATGGTATCGTGTTAGTGATACCTATATGATTTATGAGTATGTAATCAACATAAAAGATAATGAGAGGCAGAATAACATTACGTGAAATACTTAATTCATGAACATTCATGAATATTAGTATGTTCTATTCAGTTTAATTTTCTGAAGCGTGGGGTTCAGAATTGGGTCCTTTCCTGGAAAACGTACTATGTGCTTTGAAATTGCCCAATTTTATCTTTGAATTAACTCTTAAGTTAAATATTTATATCGAAAAAAGCCTTTTTTATATCACTCAAGTGTAAAAGCTGTCGACTGCAGAAGTTGGCGCTTATCGCAAAAGGCAGTTATCAGTGTATTATCTATATACAAAATCCCCCCAAAAATTTATTGGTTTGCCATTTGCTTTGCCCCCAAATTGGATTTTTTTTCAATGGAATTGTGATTCTTATTGATATTGGTAATATCTATATTCATAATCCATTATTAATTTCTTTTTATAAATTGATCGTTTTGAGTAGTAATTTCAATGCCTTAATAAACAGTGTTTAAATTTAAAGAGAAATAAAATACTTTTAGAATAGAATATTATTTAGAAATTTCTGCATGACAAAAACAACAGTTCTATTTTAATTTAACCATATATATAAGTTTAACATGATTTTAACTAGGGGAAATGTTCTCTTTATTTCATTAATCAACATGACTGAAATACATTTTAATCATTCTTCAAATCCACTTAATGTTTCCGCTAATGCTAAAAAAAATCACTATTTTTACTCTTAAGTTTGCATATGTTTCCCTTCTAGAGCTTTTTATCAATGACAACTGCAGCATTTGTATCACTCGAAATCAAACGTTTATGATTGAAATTAATTATTAATCAATTTGGTCATTATATAAACCCTCTTTGTCCATTTCTAACAAACTGAATAAGGGTACGTATTATTTTTCTTCTATCGAAATGCATAGAATATATGAGATAACGAACAGTATTTAAGATCAAAAGTCCAATAAAACAATACAATTAGGGCGCAGAGCAAACAAGGACCTCTAAAACATCAGAGGTGGGATCAGGTGCCATGGAGGAGTGAGCATTTCCTGCAGACCGGTCACACCCGCCGTGTGCTCCTTATCATGATCGGGTAGTAACGGAAAAATCCGTTGATAATTCGATGTGTACATAATGAACTAACAATTGGTATTAAAACGTCAGTCAGCATTTGACTTAAATGATAGAATGTATTTGCTGACAATGTCATTTTATCGACCATAGAACTTATGAAATGTGTAATAAAACCAGCAGTTTTCATTCTGGGTATTTCACTTCAACCGTAGCTATCGATTTGAAAATTGTTCTTTGAAATGTCTCATCGAATGAAAATGGCGATGATAACGAACAATGGTTAATATCAATTCGCTTAATAAATAATATTTATGCACAAGAAATAAATTATATATTCTTATAAACACCGGTTATAATACCTCGCATGTCTAGATGGAAACATCTATTTATTAGGTGACCGGAGTATTCCGAACGTAAAATCAATGTTCAAACAATTGTTAAAAGGGATATCAGTCAAGTTAGGATTTGATGCAGAGTTATATACGTAAACCTCGTTCATGTTTTTGCTACGAATGTTAAAGTGAGGTATATCAGTTGTAATTTTTTAACAGCTTTCCTTTTAATTTGAAAGATGATTTTTGAGATCTCTGTAGCATGAATTTATTTTTCAGTAGCCTGCATAGGCCTGCCTATCGGTTATGTTTTAAAACTGTCGTACACAGCGTAAACGCTTGGGTATCAAATACGTTTAAGTACTAAATACAACGAATTTATTATAGTAACACTGAGTACACTCAACTTATCTCGCTCGCTAGATATTTCAGTTTTAGTTGAATATTGGCACTTATATTCAGTAATATATCCAAATATGAAAAAAATTGTAGCAGATTCTGAGTGGTCTTTTATTTCAAATTCAGTTAGTTTAGTGGATTCAACTTATGAATGGAATAAACTTTTATAGAAATAATTAAATGTCAATATAAAGAGAAAGAAATTGGGGAAAAAAAATCCTCAGAGAACTTTTTAAAAAACATTTTTTCAATTGTACCCAATATATAACCTTAGCTCTGTCTGTTTATATTTATTTCTAGCTCATTTGCGGGAAGATGAAGACTTTGTGGATATTAGTTATCTTTGGATTATATACATGGATGGCAGAAAATACACATGTTTTGGTAACCTAAATTAAACTTCAACCTTTGACTATTTTGACTCCATCATTTTCCTCTGAAAATTATTATATTAATTATAATTAAGGGCCAAATTTTCAAATTCATTTTTAGACTACAGAATCTACAAAGGAATATGCTTGTGATTTTACCATTTATGATAGAAATCATGATGGGAGTATCCTAAAAAGTGAGTTTCTGCAGTACTCCATCGACCAGGGTTACCACGCTTTCCAAAGCGAGAACGTTTTCCACATCATGGATGGAAATGGTACTTGAAATTATTTTAATTCTATGGTGGATGTATGCCACTTCTTCAACAGTTCAAACAGATGAATATAAATAATTATTTTTTTTAAAATACAGAATGTTCGAAAGAACTACAATTAAGATTTGTTGCACAATGATTCCTCTTCTGAATTTCTGTAAAGTTTGTGTTTGCTTTGTTCTCCTTTATAATATTTTAATGAACTTTTCAGCTTGATTACTGTCAGTTATCTTTATATCTCATGCAATGAGATTGATAGACTTTCACTTCAGATACTAGAGTCAACATAAACTTGACACAAAGACAGTAACATGCACTTATATTTTCTACTCTATTTCTTCATATTATTCATTCTTGTTTTTATTGAATCTGTAGATGATGGCCAGATAGAAGTATCTGAGTTTGTGGCAAGTCTACAAAAATTGAAAGAAGCGTCGATGTTGAAACCGTGCAAACGTATGGGAGGTTTTTGGAGTTGGAGTAGAAATATCACATCATCGGTAATGATACAATTTATTTACCCTTTTATATTGCTTTTAGAAAAAAAAATTATTTTGAAAAATATGCATTATCTAATTTATTAAGAATTAAAGAATTAGAAATGCTGTACTATAGTTCTCATTCTTTTCAGCTCATATTTATCCATATCATCTAAATTTGCTGATAGAATATAATACATTTGTTTGCCCAATTAAATGAAGTTTCTTTTACAACTTTTAATTTAAATTTAGGGTGGAGTAAGACGGGTGCGTTAAGGGACGTAGAAGAAAGCAAATCTATGCTTTATAAATTATCAAAAATACACTTGAATTTCTACCTCTTCTTTTACTTTTTTAGAGTACGTAGAGGCATGAAAACACCATTTGATACAGTATGTGAAGTGAAGTCATCATTTAATAAGTCTTTACATTAAGTCATTTTATAGCGATAATTCATGATAATTTAAATGAATTCAACTTTCCTATTGTCAACCTTCGCTGATTTTTATGCAATACGAGGGCTGTTCAATAAATAAGGTCCTCGGATAGAAGCAAAGACGCTTTTCAATGATTTAGTCTTCATGATTTTACTTATTATCTCTTTTGATTAAAACACATGTCCGTAACATTGTTTATCCAATTTCTGATTGTTTTTTGGGTATGACCCTTAGTTTACTGGAAAATGGCAGATCCAATGATTTCCAGTTCTTGTTTCTTCCTTTTGAAAGGTGTTTTTTCCAGTTTGAAAATAGAAACAAGTCAAAAGTCAAAGATCTGGCAATATTTTTAATGTGAAAAAACATTAACTTTCTGTTTATCCAGAAAACCCCTTTACTCTTCAGGGCGTGCGGGTTTGGACGCTGTCATGAAGAAATTAATGTAATGGATTCCTGATTCTAGGTCCTTCTTCTAAAAAACCTTTCAATTTTTTGCAAAAGAAATTGCTTTCTAGATTCCTCCAGAAATTAAACTGTCTCCCCGAATTTGAACAACAATACAACTAATACTTAAGAAAATTGCATATTAATCTGTCTCCGTGCTCTTGCATATCTTTGCTCTTGTTAGACCTTCGCTGTTTTTATCAAGTACATCTTAAGGTAAATTTTGTTTTGAGGGTTTTAAACAATAGATTCATGTTCCATTATCTGTTTGAATATCAGACAGACGTGGATTACTGCAATTACTGATATTTTAGAATAATTGTTAAAACATTCGTACACGCAGCTGTTATCAGTTATTTTTCAAAATATATGGTGACCTTTGAGTATCAAGCTTTTTTTTTACCGTCAAACGTTTCTTGAAAACAGTGTAAACTACTCCAGATATGATGTCTATCGAATTTGCTATATGTCTTAAAGTCAATCATACATCATCAAATATTAATTTTTGAAATTTGGCAAACAGTGCTTAAGTTGTTATAATTCCTGTTTGTAAGGACGGGACCCATTTTTTATGCGCATTATGTAATTTTTTATCACTGAAATCCACCTGCTCATTTGTCTATAAAACAGCCCTCTTTTTTTTAACAGGCATTGGTTGCTGTAAATGTCACAAATTTCAGTGAATATTTTCTTTGGGATTATACGGCAGCGTTAATGAAGCTTTTATTTTCACTCTAGTTTACTGATTCTTTACCATTCATTTATAATGCAGTGTTTCGAATAGCCCTTGTTTCCCAGCTTCTCACGATGAAACTATGTGATGAAAAGTGGTCATATAAACTGTTATAAATTCATTAAAGATTCAATAATGAGAGAAAGTCAAGTTAAATGTCATATGATATCTATATTTTATTACACACTTAGTAATAAATACAGGTTTTTTGCATATGCGATATGGCTGACGTCACAATAGCCGTATCAGCCCAGCAGGGCTGATATGGATTTGCAAGGCTGATAACTATATCAGCCCCGCAAATCCACTTCAGCCCTGCAGGGCTGATACGGCTTTTGTGACGTCAATATCACATCCTTAGCAAATTAAACCACAAAAACAGTACTTGTGATCATGCACATTTTTGGTGGGTTCATATTCTCTTAATTTTAACATTTTGAAAATAATATTAATCTTAATTTACAAATACATGTATTACCGGTATTTTCAAATTAGAATCGAGTGCATTAAAATAGAAGTAGAAACAAACCCAAATCGTATGAGACAATAGATCATGTACATGTATGTAAGAAGTCCATGCATGATTGTTTACTTAATTTCTTCTCAACTTAATGTATGCTGTATTTTATTACTAAGTATGTAATAAACATATTAAAGCATACACTTTTCCACATCACATCCTGTATCAGCCCTCGACCGATATCAGCCCTCGGGCCTTCGGCCCTCTGGCTGATATTGATGTCTCGGGCTGATACAGGATGTGATATGGAAAAAGGTATGTAATATTCTCTATGTATGTCATACAGTTCAGGACATTATTTACTGAACAGCCCTCATATGCCATTTTCACTTCAATATGCAGTTAAATGTCTCCCACCCGCTTTACATACGAACAATTTTTAAAACAAGGAAAGCTACCGACAAAATAGTTGATGTAACACAGATATCGTGTAAAGTCAACATTTCGCAAATGGTGTGGTCAATACAATAATCTTAGCTTGTCAGAAACTAGCGTATATCTTTAAGTCGAATGTTGACTGGCGTTTTTCTTACAAATAATAAATTGTAATAATTTTCAAAACAAAAGGACCGTGGGCTACATCGTTCACCTGAGTACATGAGCTAGTTAAAAACACAAATCAGCTCAGTATTGAAAAGTTTTCTAGTTTGGGGATGGGGGGTTTGAATTTTCTGTTACTTAAGAATGTCACAATATCAATAAAGCATACATGAACGATATGGAGACAAATAACAGTATTCAATATTAAAGTCCATAAAACAATGCAAAATAAGAGCAGAGCAAACACAGACACCTCCAAAACATCGGAAGTAAGCATCCCCTGCTGACCGGTCACACCCGCCGTGTATAATTTTGTCAAATTTGAAAAGAATTGACCCAATGGTTCATGACAAGAATTTTAAAAGATGTTAATTTTTCATAAATGTATAATTATCTCCCCTTGGAAGAGGTCTTTTATTTGAACAATCTTGAATTCCCTTCACTCATGGATATGCTGTGCTAAGTTTGGTGGAAAATGGTCCAGTTGTTTTGGAGCAATAGGGGATGGGCTGCCCCTCCTCCCACGTTTTTTACCTACAATACTTTTACTATTGAAAATGTTCATTGAAAGTCTGGTTGCCCTTTACCCCCCCCCCCACACACACACACACACACACACGCGAAATAGGATTTTCGACTTTGGGCAATTTCCTTGTTTTTTTTTTTGTTTTTTTTTTTTGCTCGTCAACTTTTTCAGGTAAGTAAAAAAAAAATTTCTGTGGCTGGTCCCCCCCCCACTTTCAACATCGATGCTACGTGCCTGGGAGAAGATTGATTGTATACTGTTTAACGTCCCTCTCCAGAATATTTCACTGATGGAGAAGAAGATGAAAATGAAGAAGTTTACGACAACAACGACGACAACAACAGACAACGGACAAATTTTTATCAGAAAAGCTCAATTTTCGGCTCAGGTGAGCTAATGAATTGTCTATGTCTCCCGCGCAGATCTGTCACCACTACAGCACGGTTGTTGTCGGACACAACAACATCTCCATTACGGATCTCTGTAATGTATCTGGGTTTATTGTACAGTTTCTGACCTGCACTGTTGTGTTGAATGGCCTGGACTTGTCTTCCTTTGCTGTTGTATCGGATTATTTTAACTTCTGAATATTGGTCTTTAAGGTATCACACCGGTAATTGTTTTCACTATATAATTCGATATAGAATAAAAAAATCGTTAAAAATCAGGTATTTGTTTACATGGAAAAATATTTGGCAGGAGGTGTTCAACATTACCTGTCACATTAGCTGACACCAAAAAACAGGGTACCCACACGGCCTTTTCGGACTTTTTCCATCTGCAAACAGGGCTACCCTCAAATCAACGTGTTTTCACTTTGTTTATAAACACCTCGAGTGCATCACAGGAAGCAGCCTCCTATGCCCTGAAAAAAATAGTTCCTGTCAAAAACCTTTATTTATTCACAAAGTACATAAAATTCACTAGGCATAGGTACCAAAGTTGTAAAAATGGCTTGGAAGAAAATAGAAAAACGCCTCATAAGAAAAGAAAATTAATTTTATATATATGACTAAGTTCATTTTGATTGGTCAATTACCGGTGTGATACCTTTATCCGCATCATAAATTCCCATTCCAACCAGTAGATCCTCAGTGGAGGAGCAGAAGACACACAGTGGTTCCCATGCTGCTGGTTTCACTATCAGTGTAAGTTTTGTTTTTGTGCATGATGATAATTTACTGATATTTAATTCGTTGTCAATATAAAGTACGTCATTTGCTGAGGTCATTGTATATATACCACCACTAATCTTCTGTATGTCTGTAAGATAATATAACGTGTGACCTTCGAGATTCGTCAAGAGGACACTTATCCAATCACTAACAGCCACCAGGTCTGTTGCGGAACACGAAAGATAATACCCACGTCTAACAGTAGTCACGCAGACGCAACCTTGGGATTCAGCTGGGTATTTCCATTCGAACAAACAAATTTGTTCGTGTTTTCTTCCTCTCTGTTATTTGGACTTCTCTCAAGTATTTAATTAGATTTCGTTTGTGGAATTGATAACTTGGATGAAGAACAAAAATTGTAAAGATTTCAAAAAGATCTTCTATCGTGATTGCGAATATGTTCTTTCGAAGAAAGAAACGTGCTTGTATGTTTTCTGGATGTTCATCATTATGTTTATTGTCCTTCCAGACAGATATTTGTCTATTTATACATGTTTGTTTTCGTTGCAGTTCAGAATCTTATATCTTTGAAATTGGTTTTCCCTTTAGAAAAGAAAGGAATTTTTTGGTTTTGTTCTCTAATTTTTCAAATTTTAGTTCATAGTTTTCTATCTTTTTAATTCTTTCCCGATATTATAACCTAAAATTCAAATAAAATTTCATTTCATGCAAATGCTCAGATTTTAGTCCACCTGTTCATTTAAAAAATGACCCTTTGACGCCATCTTGGCTTGAAACATTCCTATTTTTCTTTGACTCGCGCGGACATCAGATTTAATGCCATTTAAAATAGCAAGTCTGGACGGAATAATCTCACTTTTGATGTTTTTATGTGTTTCTGTCTTTATGCAATTTTCTGTGAAAATTAAACACTGATGGTATTTCAAAAAAATCATGTTCTTGGTGACCTTCACACCTAATAGAGATTGAAAATTCACACGAAT